AGCTGTCAACGGCACTTATATTTTACAAAACTAAAGAAAATATATTTCCTTACATACCCTTTTGAATAACTTTGGCTTATCTTAATGAGGAATCAACTTTGGATATGATTTTAATTTCAACATCACCAGCCGCAGCACTGTCTCTGTTGACTTTCTCTGGTTGCGCCTCAGTCCGTATCCCCGGCTCCAACTTAATTAATTTTCTTTTTCATTAAATAATAGAGATGCAAATAAATAGAAATAAAAAGTTCTCAGATAAGATCGGAGGTGTATCTATAACTACGCAACCAATTTCATAAAATAAGATTATGCTGTCTATGTTAAATTAATTCATTAACTTTATTTTAATCAAAAACAAAATAAAATAGCACAATATCACACCAAGATCCCCAATAAACCTGCTTTTCAGTTGACTGCAGGCCCACAAACGTCACTTTTAGGACGGCAGAGGTCCCAAGCGCCACCTGGTGGTTATCCGGGTACATTGCAGTTCTTTTTGAAATAAAAAAACTGGCCTCAGGAAATTCATCATGATTCACGTGGGAATCACACAGGAATCATGCAGGAAACCGTCCATTTCCAACCAGCGCCCACTGTAGTGCTTTCATAAGAAGTCTGTTCAATATCTTGTTGAAACTAAATTTAGTAAAACCAAAGAAAAATACAGCATCATGTGAATAGAGTATTGGTCAACTACACACTTCTGTTTGGGTTTAGATCCAATAACAAAAATTAGAATTAAGATTTTTAAGAACCCCAATTGTAACCTTGAACTAAATAAACCATCAATATTCGTATCTCTTGACCTGAGGCATCCTTGAGCACACAACGTTTTACTAAGATGTATAATGCTTAACTTCTAAACTATTAGTTGATGGTTTCAAATCCTATCTCAGAGGCAGACAGTGTGCCTCGAAAAACTAGCTACATTTCAAATACAGGTTTCCACAAGGCTTATTTCAAGGTTAGGTCATTTTTACTTTACACATACACAGCAAAAAGAACCTTAAATGAGTAAAAAAAAAATCTTTAAATACATGTATTTACCCTTAATTTGAGTAGGTAAATAAGATTATCTGCCATTGGAATGAGTAGGTTTTACCTTAATATAAGATCATAAGTTATTATACACTTGAAATTAGAGACTGCAGTTGTTTCTCCTATTTTAAATGTAAAATTATTTTGTTCCATTTGGAAAGTGTCTTACTTACAAGCTCATTTCAAGAAAAAATTCACTTAATTTCAGAAAAAAAAAATTAGATTTCAAATTTTTTGCACAATCATGATGAAGATAACTAATGCAAGACAACTGATAATCTATTTAATTCTTCCTTAGATAAAAAGTGATCAATAGAGGAACCTTTCTCCAGTCTTTTAATCCTTTCAAATTGGAATCTATCCTCAGTTTTTAGGCTTATCTTAAGTACAGTTTAAATTCTGTTCAGTTTAATTATATGGCAACTATTTACAATACATGTGATATTAAGTTACATTACAGAAAAATGTTATATATATACAGTGATATATAGTCAATTTATGTGTACTGTACACACATCCAAATGCATCCAAATGCAAACATGCATTATGATTCCATCATAGTTATTGAGCAGTGCAGTCAAGTTGATTATTTCACTGGTGGAGTGGTGAACTGTAGCTCTAGCGGCGGCTTATCATCCTGTTTATCGTTGAGAAGAATAGTAGCATCAATTGTTGTTTTTCATTACGTCCAGCGTTGCCCACCGTGTTTGCATTGTCATCATTATCTATGTGAAGTTCTCCAGACAGACAGACCCCGTCACCTGGTTCTGCCCCATGTTTAGCCTGCTTTATCTGACACAGCGTTCCTTTTCCTGATTATCGAGTAAATATTAGTATAGTAAAGTACAGTACAAAGTAAAGTAATAAGATGTTATTGTTTTATAAGAGAGAATAAGAGCAAAGAGCAGTATTCAGAGCATGAAAGTTGATTTTGAACAATAACTTTGACCCAAACAGAAAAAGCGAAATGCACAGACATTGATGCAAAAAGTTGTGCTATAATACACATCCCCATACACTTTTAATATACAATGGACCTCAATATTGTAGTCATTTACATTATATTATCATAATATATTTTATAGGTTGTCAATTTCATTATCATTCATATTTAATATATATTTAATTTACTTTTATCTTTTTTTTTTTTTTTTTTTTTTTTTTTGTCCTGTCTGCCAATGTGGCAATAAGAATAATTGTCTTGATGCCAAAAAGAGCCAACAGATTTTACTTTCACAAGTGTAGCAGTATGGCAATTGCCATATTGCTCCACTTGTTTCATGCATATAAATTGCTTTATTATAATTATGCACAGAGTTTTACAGTTTATATGGACACTTAATTTACTATTATTAAGATTAACCATAGCCAGCATTCATTTACATCATAAAGACAGATTCAGATTTGTTTGAAAAAACACTTTTTTGATTACCTAATGTTTTTTTTGAGCTAGAAAAAAAAAAAAACAAGAACTAAGAAGTTTTATAGAAAGAGCAACTCATTTTTTGCTTTACAGGAATTATTTTGCTGTCACATCACATAATGCAGTATATATAACATGTTTCCCAAAATCAAAAGGCTCTTCTGTTAGAAATGTCTTATTTGTAATATTGCAACTGTTAAGTGGCAATATTTATTTACATCAATGATTCTATAGTGAAAAGAGTATAAAGACTTGACAATTAAGTTGAACTATTAGTCTATCTAATTGATGAAAATCATAGAAATCTGATTTTTTTATACAACAGAATGTGACATTTTTCAAACCAATTTGCTGCTGCATACTTTTATTAGACTTCATTTAGCATGGAAAGGAGCTGAGATGCTGTACTTTTAACTCCACGGTTGCATTGACCTTGATGCTTTTTTGTTCCACCTGACTAACAATGTTTTAACTAAGTTATTTTCAAAAGGTCTTGAGTTTGTAAAGGATGAAAGTGAGCATTCAGGGAAAGAAAAAGAAATATTAATTGTTTTTGAAAAATCCGTACGACAACATTTCTACCATAAAGCTCAACATAATTTATTAAGACTTTATGTGACTGATAAACAGGAGCTTCATATTGTTGAGGAAATATAAAAAATGTTGATAATGCCCCTTTTTATTTCGTACCCCTAAGTAGAATGTAATACAACCAGGGTTGTAAAGAGACTACATGTTATATTAAGAAGAAACAACATTTTAAAAACAACATGAAAAACCAAGGAAAACCACAGACAGTGTAAAGTTTAAAGAAGGTTGAAGTTATAAAAGAAAATAAGAATTTTATTAAGATCTTACTGTTTAATCACAGCAGAAAAGAAATGTAGTTACATTGAAAAGAAAATCCAATTAAGTCATTTTTGTCTTAAAATAAATGCACCTTTAGTTGAATTTAACAGATAAAGTAGTAGTCATTTAAAATTTCCCCACTTTCTTTGATGGGCCCTTTGCTGGTCCCCTATAATTCCTTTTTTAAACATCAATCAGCTCAAATTAAGGATAAATACACTTATTTTAAGAAATTTTGAAGTCTTTTTGCATAGCTTGTTTGCAGAGTAATTTATTTTTTTCTCGAAATAAGTGTATTTCCCTTGATTAAAGTGATTAAAGACAATTTACGAAAAGAATAACACTATTGAAATTTAATTAGAATAAAGATATTTATCATTGTTTTTAGTAAGTAAATGTATAATAATCTTATTTTAAGGTCAAAAATATTAATTTCATTGGCAGATATCTGCTCAAAGTAAGGGAAGATACACTTATTTCAAGAAATGTTTACCTATTTTAAATCAGTGAGAGGCAGTAATGCATTATATGAAAAATCTAAATAAAATGGTATGACTTTAACCCTACAAACAAAAATTACTAACATGGACTAAAATTACTAACCTCTGATTTACTCAGAGAGCCAGGCAAGAAACTAATGTTTTTTCTGGAGGAGATGCAAATAGGACACCGACAGAAGATCCACTCAAAGTGAGAAACGGAAAGTCCTCCAATTTTCTTTGGTGCAGTCGGCCATTTTTACATATTGGCCTACATGTATAATATAAGGTTTGGGAGAAAAACTAACATGGCATATCAACATGAACTCCCTGAAGTAAAACCTGATGGTGGCAGCAGGTACGGTGATATTGCTTATCTTGATTAGGGATAGCTTAATACAATATAGCTGGAACTATTAGAAGCAAACCTGTAAAGATTTGAGATTACAATGGAGGTTCACGTACCAGGCTGGATAAACCCATCCCAATTGTACAGCCAGAGCTACAGAGATGTGGGAAATACTATTTACAAAGGATATTTATGTGCAAAATGATCCAGTTTAAGTCCAGACACGATTCAAGATTATAATCTGTCGCAGGAAAATTGATGCTTACAGATGTCCTTCATTTAGTGTGACAAAGCTTAGGGCAGTTTTGCAAAGATGAGCAGCCAAGAAATGCAGTGTCTAGATATGCAAAGCAGGTAAAGTCAAATCCAAAGAGATGCCGACTCAGTGAGGAATGAATATGAATACTAGTGACACTTTTCAGCTTTAGGGTTAAAACTGTGCTGCCTTTTTAATATATCCCTTATTTTTATACATTACACAGTAGTAGTTTGGAGTTTGTGTTTGTGATGTTAAAATGTCAGGGAATACAAATAGTGTGCATGGTACTGTAACTGTTCATGTGATCTTGTTAAGACTTATATACTTCTAGGTGTATATTATCAATAAAATTCAGAAAGAGATTAATATTAATCACACTAAGTATTTGTATTAAATAGATCCTGTAAGTGCATCACTACCTGTAAATGTTTTAGCTCAACCTTTTAAATATCAAGAATGTCAAAATGACCTTGTTAAACATATTATTGATGTGGAATATAAGAAGCTATCCTTTTTGGAAATCTTTAAAACAATGTTTTCCCCTAAACTACATTCTTCAATTATTATATTTAAAAACATTCTCCTTTTTCTGTTGTCTTTTAGTGGAGCTGAAATTTAACCTGGACCAGTACGTGAACAAACGCTACCCAGGCCTGGTGAAGATTGTGAGGAATAACAAGCGGGAGGGTTTGATCCGAGCCAGAATCCATGGCTGGAATGCTGCCACATCACCTGTTGTCGGTTTCTTCGATGCTCATGTCGAGTTCAACACTGGATGGTAAGAAAAGGTCACATTTAGCAGGTGAAAGTCCAAGCCGTTTCCTTTTTCTCGCTCACCTTGCCTTTGTGTTTGGCTTTTTACAACAGAGGTATGTCAGCAGTTCTATATCTTTTCCACAGTAAGTTGGGAAGATAAGAAGGACTTTTGATTAGATTAGATTAGATTCAACTTTATTGTCATTACACAGGTACAGGTACAAAGCAACGAAATGCAGTGTAGGTCTAACCAGAAGAGCAATAGCAGCAAGTGCAGGACAAATAATGCTTCCATAAATACAGGACATGGGTTTCTACTGAATAAATATAGAGGTGAATACCATTATAAACAGAATTTTAGTAATAGATTTATCCTATGAATATAATATATAGACAACTAGTGTTATGAACTAAATTAGCTGGATATGTACCGAATATAATATAAAGGTAGATATTACTATAAAAAGGGTTTTCACAGTTATGTACAATAGCATAATATACAGATGGCTTTTACTATAAAATGAATAAATAAAGTTTGGACAGAAGCTATTTTAATTAAAGCGCAGTGGAAGGTAATTGCATAATGATTTTTCAACTAAATATATTTAAAAACTTTTATTCAGTTTTATTCATATAGAAATATTAACACCCCACATTTCTACTATCAGTAAGGAAACATAAGTGAATGTTTAATGTTTAAACTGGAATACAGTTTAGGCCTAACTTTTTAGATAAGCAGAACACAGAACAACGAATCACTTTATTCCTGACTCCCACCAATGCACTGCATGGTAATCCATATCTTTGTATTCACCTTGAAAATTACAGTCAAGATTCTTGGAGATTCACAGAAGCAGGCCAAGTACCACAAGTGGCACTTGTAGCTTGAGAACCATATGAAAGTAAAACACATACATTTAGTATGAGCAAAATAGTCAGCACTGCAAAGTAATTTTATTTGTAGGTGCTGCAGTGATTTTGTGGAATTAAATTATTCCTGGGGATCTCACTCTGTCTGCCTGGTTCAAAGGTTTACCAGCAAACACGTTGCTGAAATCGATGCAATTGGCACCTAATTTGAGCCTGTCATGCTGTCGGTATTTGAAGATGAAGTGCAGCTTTAGTTTCCTTGGAAGCTGCCTGGAAGGCATGTGTTCGACACGGGGGGATGGGATGGATGAGGGAGAGGTAGAGGAGGAGAGGAGGACAGCAGCATGTGACAGTTGGGTTTCAAATTAGTAACAGAGTCTGGATGCAGTCCAGTGCCTCTGGTAGCATATATATAGGTATAATTTTAAACAGCAGAAATGCTTTAGTCCTTTCTTAATTACCCAGATTTGCTTTAAACATCAAATACTTGCTCACTGTTTAACAGAAATCTGTAAAATGATACTGCATGAATTCCTCTTAGAGCTTTACCACTCCATGTTTATTGTGATGGAGAGATTTATTAAGGTAAATAAATGTTTAGGAACATTTGTACAAATTCTTCACCTCCACAAATTCTTATGTTTAATAGGGATGAGCCTATATATATATATATATATATATATATATATATATATATATATATATATATATATATATATATATATATATATATATATATATATATATATATATATATATATATATATATATATGTATGTATATATATATATGTATGTATATATATATAGATCAGCTTGCATCTAAAACGCTGAAAAAAGCGTTTTAGATGCTTCTATCTTCTGTTTAGATTTTATGTAAGCTATCGGTTAATGATACATGGATCACTTGTTCTCATTCCTTTCCTTATTGTGTGCTCACTGTTTTACTAATATAATCCAATCACACCTTGTCTTACATCCCTAAATGTTGTCCTGACAATTTCTTATAAACTGCTAACAATTCTTTTTTTCTAATAAATTGTTACAATACCTTCATTATATATTTCCACAATGTTACTGGTCCACTTGGCCTTTTGGGTGGGACCAAAAGGTGACACTTGATTTGAGACAGGACAGTTTCAGTACATTTCAAAAGTGGTAGACAGTTTTACCATAATTCTCCTAATCATGTAAATCAATTCATATTCCCAAGGAAACTCAAACTACCGGTAAGTCGTATTGGTTAAATACAGTGACTGGTGTGCAATTTATAACTATATTCATTTTATCTGTACAAAAACTCAAAAATGATTCAATTCAGTTTATTTATATAGCGCCAATTCACAACACAAGTCATCTCAACTTGAGATGCCTTGAGTCAAGGCACTTTACAATTAATCAAGAACATACCGTCAAATTGATTCAAAGTTTTCTATCTAGGGAAAACCAGTTGATTGCATCGACTCAAATGCAATCCCTCACACTAAGCATGCTTGTAGCGACAGTGAGTTAGAAATTAAACTAACAGATTCTGCAGATTGGGAGAATAGAGACAGAATGAAGCAGAATGATGAAATGGGGGTCCCTATGTCCTCCAGAAGTCTAAACCTATAGCAGTATAACTATAGAGATAGCGCAGGATAACCTGAGCCACTCTAACTATAAGCTTCTATCATTCCAAATTAATGATGATGAAATGAATGAAATGGATTATCCAAGTAACATTTCAATGTTAGTAGCATTTTCCATTTTTAAACGGTTTCAAAGCCCTGTTATGAAACAAACAGGGGTAAGTATACAGTATAAGAATTTAGGTACGGTCTTAGAAAAATACATTTATTTGTGTACTATTATGTTGCATCTGAAGTAAGAAATGGCAACCACAACAAAAGCTTATGATGGAACCCTGGAAATGCTTACCTACAGACACTTCTGCCTTCTGTCCAGGTGTCTGCCATGATAAAGAAGTTAAAGTCCCTTAGCTTCCGAGAAGATCTTGTTCTTTCTCAAACTTTTGTAGTGGTAGGTTCTTAATTTTGACCTACGGCTTAAAAAGTAATTCAACACTTGAATTCCATAATTGTGAGGGGTACCTCAAGCCGTCCAGGGCTCTAAGATTTGTAGCCCTGGACGGCTACAAATCTTAGATTTATTTGGTTTGGTAAAAGCACTCAGAGGCAACAGTAAGCTAAACCCAGCCATAAGAATCAAAAACAAATGTGCAATCACAGATCATTCTGCTAACAGAGGCTCACCGAGGGCTGTTTTAATGAGCCTTAAGAGCACTGTTCATGGTTTGAAAGAGAAAGGCAAGCTCAGGGTCACCCATGGCAAGCAACCAACCAGGAAGGAGCACTCATGAGAATCTGCTTTATTGCCTAATGATACAGATGATAAGTAATACCTGTGTGGTTCCCACAACAGTTTCCCATCTGTTCTTTCCAGAAATAGACTTGCATTTCATACCTCCACATAGCTGCTCTCACCTCCACACAGCTTTTTCGGCCTTCAGCTGTCTCTGTTTTCTTGTTGGCATTCCACCAAACTTCCTTCTTCTACCAAACAAGCTGCGGCTTCAGCTCACCTGCTACCAACATGGGTATTCTTCTTCCTCTACCTGCCACCCTCACAAACTTGGACAAGGTTTTGATCTTGTTTTGAGATACTAATACTAAGCAAGAGATTTTTTTATCTTCTTTTGAGAAGATCCTACTCAAAAATAGGTGTGATAATCTGCCAGTGCAGTAAGACTTTTTGCTTTGACAACATATAATATAGCAGATTATTGCACAGTTGTGCGTAGCATCTTCTGAAAAGTAGATTAATGATCTAATAGAATCTTCCTTTTACTTCAATCTCTAGACACAATCAAAAAGACTGACTAGATTAGATTGTAAGACTTGGTCAGGCGGGGAATTGTTGCAGTTGAGCAAAGAACTTATAAGATGAGATCCTGATTACCACTGATGTGAGCAAAACAATCTGGCGCCTGTCTCAGGAAACAAGAACATTTCTAGGCTCCACCTGATGAGCCTTAATGAGCTCTAGCTGCAGAGCCTGCACCTGCCAGTCACACCCTGGTAAGGAAGGTGGAGGAAAAAAAAAATCAAAATATGCTGCAGAGACCTCAGTGGATATGACAGCCTTTAGATCTGCTTTTGTCTGACGTTTTATTTACAGAAGTCAAAGGAAACTACAGCAGAGTCGCTTTGATTTTGGTACAATAGCAGTTCCTGGATGAAAGGATATAGCTATGGAGAAGATGACAGGCCCGTTCAAAAAGCATATTTGTGGTTCTTTATATCAGGGCATGTGTGTATGTTACCTGTGTGTGGATTTATCTTCTGCTGTGTACTTAGAAACATTCTTCACTGCTTTATGCAGATAGATTTACTCGTGTTATCTACAGTTTCTTTTTGTTAGAACGGAAAGAATCCCTATTTATCATAATATGATTATTCGCCATGGCACATGCATTGATAAGTGAGACGGATGGTTGCTGATATGTTGTGGTGAATCTCCTTCAATGACCTTGCTCTCGCTGCTTGTGCATACTGAGCCAGAGACAGCACTGTCAGCTCTGAGCAGCAGCTCTGTGATTCATTGGCAAAGGCTTTCCCTCCAGGGAGGCTGAACATTTGCAGCTGAAATGTATTGCTGGTTCACATTATTATTAAGGCAAACATAATTGCATCATGCTGTTTGGTGCATTTGAAAACTGTTTTCCGTTCCCACACACTGTGCTGCTTTATGAGGATTTAAGAGGCCGGTGGCTTTCACCTCAGCAACTGCAGAGTCTGAATATCACACCTCAGCTTGGCTTTAATATGGGGACACAAAACTGTAGCTTATGGTTACTGAGCTGTTGCATCAACCATGAGTCCATCCCTTCCCACACCTGATAATGTGTCATCATTTTGACAGCAGTTGTTTGTTGTGCTCTAAACAGGCGCATGCTGTAAATAAGCAGATTAGGGGAAAGTATGGGTGGCTGCAATTAGGCCTAACTGTGTCCATAGCTTCAAACACTGTGGATGAATGAAAGGATAGGGAAACTGATATTTATTTGCCGTCTGCAGTCAAATCTTTGGTTGTAATACATAATCATAATCAGAGAGTAAAATCTGCTCCATGCTGACTGTTTGCTGATTAT